TTTTTTTAGAATTCCACACGAAGGCAACATTCCGGCAGATGACGCAGGTGGGAAGACAGACACTCCATGCAGATGGTGGCCAAAAATTATATAAGTAGGACATTATTTTCTACCTTAAAAATGTATTTCAAATAACGTCCGCATGCGCGGACTTTGCGACACCACATGGCGTCATTCGTACCGCTGCCTTTATATCTGCGACGACATACGGTGTCTTTAGTCGTTTAAAGGTTAAATGATATATAAAACATGCCCAGATGCAAGGTATATGTACAACTTGTGTTTTAAACTTCCATTCCACATAAACTCACCTTTCACAGCTGCGGAACCTTTCCTCGTTTGACAGAACTAATTTCTCACCAACATCTGTTTCTGCATTTAGTGGTCCTCGCTGCACATGGCGGTAGTTTGATGAGTCCAGACCTGCAATAGATTTGTTGCTCTATATGTAAAATCTGTACTTACTAGGGTAGGAATGTGAAATGTGATTTTGATATTCCATCTTTAAAATCAGTATGCAATGAGCTACAATTCACATTTACAATCATACACACATGCCTTGACATATTATATGAAAGACTATTATTACATTGTAAATTGATGATGCAGAATATTGCTTGGGCTCTTGTTTAAGCGATGTCTCTATTGCAAGGGTTATACAATATCAAATGGCAACTTACAAGAGATCACCTGTGGCCTATTTGAAAGTATTAGTCCAGTAACTTATTGGAATCTGAGAAAAACCATGATTCCAGAATCTCAAGAATAGAGACAAAAGTCCCCTCGTAAGAATCCTCCAAGAGCAGCTGATCAAAGCTTCTCTGGTAAAAGTAACGGGTAAAGTTGTCCCTGTGCTTAACTAATTACGCACTATGTCATGAAGGTTTATGGGGGAATGGATGCATAGATCCACATTTTCCTGACCTTGGCACTAGCTGGAGTTTAGTGGTCAGTTTCCCGCCCCAGCCACTATAAACTGGGGAGAGAGCCCCTGGTACCCATTAGATAGGAGGTTGGGTACACCCCAGAGCCAGTCTGGATAATATGGAGACAAAAAAAATTCTTAACCCTACTGGGGCTTGAACTCCAACACCTCAGTCATCCATCCTGTAGCTAGTCACTATAACGACTATGCTATCCTGGCTCCTTAAAGCTTCCCTGATGTTATTAAAATCAATTATCTCATTAATTAGCTCTATCCAGTTTACATCTTCACACTCTATTTCTCTAAGATCATTTTTAATATTACCCTCCTACTGATGCCTGTTTCGCAAGTGGTCCTTCAATTAAGGTAATCCCAGTTACAATGAGGAGCTTCTGAAAGGTATAGTTGTCACTGTGCTTAACTAATTAAGCATCACGCCATTGGGATGTATTGGGGAGCAGATGTATAGATCCATCTATTCTCGACATCGGCACTAGGTTGAGGTGAGTGGTCAGCTTCATACCCCAGTCACTTTGCCCCCATGGAAAGAGTGTCCAGTACCCATTGGGTTGGAGGCTGGGTGGGCCCAAGAACCAGTCTTGATGACATGGAGAGGAGGAAAAAGCTTACTCCTACTGGGACTGCAACTTCTTGGTCCCCCAGCTCATAGCCACTCATTATACTGACCTCTCCATTCTCACTAACCACTTAATGTGCAAACACCCTCATTTTCTGTACTTGCATTTTAAATGCAAGTGTGTACACTCACCAAGGCTTTCAGCAATGCGAGCAGCATCAGTACCTTCAATGGGGTCACAGAGTCGGGACACAACAGGATGAATCTGTTGTGACAGGTAGTACTTTACATCAATCTTCAAGTTTTCATTTGTTTTCAGCTCATCCACATGATAGGCCCTCTGCATGGCTCCAAGGTTACTTCCATCCTATAAAAATATTGAAGTGTGGATTGCATCTTCATCTTATGTTCCTTAGCACAGCTTCCATTAATGCAGAACACACAATAAATAGGACTTCACAAGGACGGAATTGCACTATGAAACATCACTGGACACTGAATATTGTGTTCGTAAAATAAAACTTAATACTAATTATTTCTAATATCAACATTTTGTGCTAGGGAAATACTACTTTTTTCATCAGAAACTAAAGTTAAATTTCAGAAACAATGTTATAAATGCTGTACATGCACCATGCAAGTTCTCTGAACAGGGAAGTAAACAAGCAAATAAAAACTAATCATGTCTTTAAAACTACGTGCCATGAAAAGTTAAGATGAACAGACAAATATGCAGCCTCACATCATAGAAATAAACTCCACCATGATTAGTGAGAAGCAAACTGTTCCATTACCACAATCATGAGAACATATAACAAACTTTGGAGACATTTATCCAAGAAATATCATTTCAATATGAAATTACGATGACTCCTAGTTTATTAAGAAACAAGATGTTTTATGTTTCTGGTTAAATCTGTGCATAGAAAAGCAATTAACAAAATACATAATTCTTACCTCACATATGATATAAGTGACAGTGTCACCCTGCTTCAACTTCCGGCCACCATGCTGATTAAGTCTGAGTGCTACTTGTACATGGGGCAAACTCTTCTTGTCTGCATACTCTTCTGGATTCTTAGTGAGCTGTTTTGTGATGGTGAGCAAGGACAGAGGGACTCGCCCAGCTTCCAGATCCACTCTCAGTCTCCCTAGGTGCTCATGGATTCGCAAGAGTCGCTCATCAGCTTCCTGATCTGATAGAATCTGCTCCAGAATAAACCTGACAACATAATGGATGCAACATTTAAAACCTGTGAGGTATAGCACAGGCTTTAAACATTAATAACATTAGAGATTAGAACAATGCACTCTATAAGACACTTATACAAGACTGGTACATGCTAAACATCTTTCTCTTTTCTCTGTAGTACCTGAGGGTGACCTATTACATGGAAAAAATGATTCAATGGACAGAAGTATCATCAACTGAAATACATATCATTTCCTTCTTCCAGCATACACATCTAAAGGGGAAAGCACCAGAAAAACAAATGACATATAAAGAAAGTTGACAGATGAATATAGTGAAATGGCAATAGAGTAGGTACAACTTCATCATAGCAATAAAAACCACTGGAACCGAAAATTTCTGTGTTACACATAGGAAAACCACCATATAAAATGTATAATTTGAGGTTTTCAAGGTGGTGACTATGAAGAAAGCAGTCTTCTGGGATGTGATGCCACATCCCAGAAGACTGCTTTCTTCATATAAAATGTACTTCACCCATTTTTGGATATTACAAGTATATGTTTGAACGTAAATTTATCTGGATTTTATAAATACTCATATCGAGGTTGCACTGTACTTGCATGAACAGACAGTTAAAGAGAAAACATGTAAGAGGGGAAGAGAGAGGAAGAAACATAAAAAAATGGTGTTACTTACTTGCCAGCTTCAGCAGAGAGCTGGGACCAATCTCGCCGCACAATATCCAGACCCTTCAGTTCCTGCTGTGTGACGAGTTCTCCATTAGGGAGGCGAGATATTGAGACAGCTGCATACTTCTTCTTCTTCAGCAACAACATGTATTTGAAGACACCATCAACATCTAACTCCACTTGCCGGTATAGCCTGTTTACTTCAAGTTTGATCTGCAGGAACAGTGGAACAAATTTATGAAACTCAACATGACATGCCACTGGAGATCGTACCCTGCTCAGACTTAAAAAATCCCTGCCAACAAAACCTGCACAATTAAATATTGTTGGGTACAGATCACTCGTCACTAACAAATCTTAGAAGAGGCCACTATTAAAACTATTTTTGTGTAAAATGGAAAATAACACAGTAACCAACCAAACTGTGTCATGAAAATGCAAATTAGTGCACTTATTATACATTTTAAATCTGAAAATTAGGATGCTCAGTTTATGGGGAATTTTTTAATCAACTCAATTAGCCATAAATGTAACTCATGCACTTCCTGTGTATGACAGAAGCTATTAACAGTTCTCACAATATGAATTTTGTTTCTTATGGCTTCTTGTAGATGAAGTGAGGGGAGGTTGGAGAAAACTGCATAATGAGGAGCTTCATAACTTGTACTCTTCACCAAGTGTAATGAGAATGATCAAGTCAAGGAGGATGAGATGGGCAGAGCATGTAACACGAATGGGGACACTGATGGGAAATCCAGAAAGAAAGAGACCACTGGGAAGATCAAGACGTAGGTAAGTGGAAAATATCAAGATGGACCTTTGAGAGATAGGGTAGGATCTTATGGATTGGATTGATCTGGCTACAGATAGGGATCAGTGGAGGGCTTTTGTGAACACGGTAATGAACCTTTGGGTTCCATAAAATGCTGGGAAATTCTTGAGTAGCTGCACAATTGGCAGCTCCTCAAGAAGGGCTCAGCTCCATGAGCGAGTGATGGCATCTTGTATTACCATCATAACTTACTTATTCAGTTTCTGTATGGACACACAGCAAGGAAGGATGAAGTGGAAAACCTTACAACATACATGGTAAAACAAGGCCTGCTTAGAAATGTAGGTTAGAAAACATCAATGGAAGAGACCATTTCAAAGACTAGTGGTAAATGGGTCTTACACAGTAGGCTGTGAAGCATACTGCAATTGCAAGAAATGTCAGGAACAATGCAATATTCCTTCCTTCAGATGTTCTTAAGAAGCAAAGTTACATTAACATTTAAAATCACAATAAGGATATTCTTCTCTCAAGACTTGTACTAATAAGCAAAACTGATATTTATAACATATCCATCTCCCACAGGCTGACACAGGATGTGTTAAAAGTCTCAAGATAGAAACTATGAGGTTATTTCTGATAACTCGGAGACAGTGGCATCTGTTTTAGTAGAAACTGTAAAAGGGAACAGATCCCTAAATTCATTATTCTGAATTTGTAATATACTGTCATGTGTATATGTGTGTGTGTGTGTGTGTGTGTGTGTGGGGGGGGGTGACTTACAGACAGGTTTTGGATTGGATTTATTGACACCTTACACAGTCAACTGGGGACTACAGGTAATACAGCACTATTGCTAATCTACACACTTCACAGTTCACCATTACACACGCACTAGGGTCCTCAGCCTTCACTAGTCATACTCTGGCAATGGATTTATAAACAGTCTCACTGTCACTGCAGCAGACATAAAGTCTTCTTTTCACTGCCTAATTCCTTTCTTGCCTTTATTCTCAAACACCTTCAACTGCCATCTCCAGAACTCGACCAAATTCATATTCCTCTGCTCCCAAGCTCATATCCTGGCAGGCTGGTATCTCAAAACTCAACTGACTCAAATTATCTATGTCCTTTTTATAACTCCTTGGCACAGACCATGTGGAAAACACAGCCTCTCTATTGCTGACAAGGTGTGTTTACAGCATGGTGCATAGCAATGGAAGTTATTGGATTTTGCTTGCATATTTGTTGCCATGGGAATATGTTCAATGAGCAGTTCCTAGCAATGGACGTCTCCTCTGATTTCACTAATCTGGCTTTCGGGGGTCATGTTAGAATATGCTACACTTTCTATACAACTGAAAGCATTCAGTTGAAAAAAGATGAAAGTTCTTGCCAGAACAATCTGTGAATCTAAATAAAAATCACATTCACTCCTTGCATCAGCATTTAATGACTGTTAGCTGTGTCTGGAAAGTCCATTTAAATCTGGAGTGATACCATTTTCCCAGCATGTCAATGCTCATTTGTTAACCATAACATATTGTCACATATTTACTGCCTTACATGGCATTTGGAGTGGTAATCAGATTTACTGGAGTATTGCAAATCTACAAGTAATTATAGCTGTTTCACTAATATATGATTCACTATGGCAAGAACTAAGCCTTCTACTACCACAGTCAATAAGTTTGTGGAATGGCTGCAAAGCGTCGTATGAGAATTTACTGCCAATATGTTTCAGCAATGTTTTCGACAGCTATATTAACATTGGCAGACTTGCATAGTGGCCAACGGCAACTATTTTGAGGGCCAATGTGGATCTGCATAAGTGTATGTGAATACCTTGTAATATGATGCGATAAAACCACATTCCACGAACTTAATGACTCTACCATGTATATCTTCACTATGTGCTGCTTGTCATCAGCTCCCACAATAGCATGTAGATTCCTTAGCCTCTCTGTTCAACAGGTTCTGTCCTCAACACTGTCTGGCAACTGCCTCACATCTAACCCAAGACTGTAACTGTCCCACCAGCGTTACTTTAAAACTGGCAGTTTAAAGCCAATCAGTTTGTCTTAGCAAAAAGCCCCTTAAGACTCATGACCAGCAATTATTTTTTAATTGAACACTTGCTTTCATAGTCCTTATGTAACATCCTCTCTGATGAGAGGATGGGTCTGTCACTCACAATTGTCAGCATAGTTATTCTCACATACGAGTCCCGCAGGGCTCATGACCATATGTTACTGTCTCAGATTTGAGACTCCCCCAACCTGGATGGCCAGATCCCTGTAGAAGGCGACGAAAAGGGAAGCCTGTGCCTGGGGGGTACAACTGTCCCACCTGTCCATTATGTTCTCCTTGTATAACATCATATGGACTGCACAGAAAACACCATTTCCAAGAGTCCCTCTACTGTTGAATGTGCACCCACTGCTATGGTCACATAATTTCAATGCCAGGGAAACATTTTTATAGAGTCACTGCCTAGCAATGGCCATCTATTCTGGCTTTGAGCGAAAATGTCACACTATGTTATGGAATTCAGAAAGCAGATAATTGAAAATTCACACACCAACATATGAATATCCTCTGTTCATGACTACTTCAAACATAAAGGCTACATCATTGAATATAATCACAAGTCTACCAATGATTCCATTCTACCTCATGAGTCAGTCTCAATACTCCAATGCAAAGGGTTTAGTGAAGTTCATTTTCAATTTGGAGTAATAGCATAAACAAGAGCAAATTAACAAGCAATCCTAAACTGCAGTAACTCAGCCAGACCTATAAATCTGGCTTCAAAGCTCTGCCCTAATAAACTGCAATACCATTAAATTTGGCTTGTCTGTTTCTTACCTTGTGACCTATCTTGAAGACCTGGTCATAATCCAAACAGTTTGTGTTGATCATGATTGAATCTGTATCTCCATAAATCACTTGGAAGTTCATTTTCTCCACAAGATCTTTGGTGTTAAGCAAAATCTCTCTGCCTTTTGCTAATAACAAAAATTGTAATGAGTCATCACACATTCACACCAAGCTGGAAATTCTCAAACTATCTCTGCAGTCAGTAAACTCTGCAGCCAATCTTTTTAAATTCACTTTGCAGTATTAGCATTTCCAACAAGATTCTTTCCGCAAGTTTTCTAAACTATTCTGTCAATATTATATTGTAAGACACCTACAAAACATGACAAACTACAAGAACAAACGCTTAAATCTCCATAATTGTACACCAGTCAGCACACTGACTTATAGATTATACAATCTGATTGTCAATAAAGGAGAGAAATAAAAAAAAATCTCCATAACATAAAAAATTAGAGCCATTAGCATCTGATCAGTAGTTATCCACTGATGAAAATTAAACATTTACATTTGAATATTTTCTCACATACCACATCCAGCATGTAAGCAATGTTCTAAATGAAAATTGGTGTCTTCTGGAATTTTACACTGTGTAGCCTGGTGGTAGATGTTTACTGTTGTTTTGGAGGAATGTGAGCCCCACCCAGACAAAGGCTGCACATTCCTCTGGAACATCAGTGAACATCTATTAGACTACACAGTGTCACATTCCAGATGACAACCTTCACAGTCACTGCCAAGAGAACGCAAAATCTTTACATACCTGTGATCAGTGCTGCAAGCGGCTTTGCATAAAACCGAGAATGTGGAAACCCTAGACAACCATACATACTGTTGGCAGTCAACTTCAGCGCCATTTGGCGAATGTTGTACTAGAGAAAGAACACAGTATATGTGATCAGCCTTCTCCTGAGTTCACAAAATCCTACACCATTCACACTACTTTCTTTTTTTTAAGTTTAGACAAATAAAAATAATATATCACATTACAGTTATTTCAAAACACTTCAAGATGCAGGAAACATTTTCATGTAAAGTGGAGATTTTGCCACAATACAGTGTGCCCTGGGGGGCGGATCCTTTGACACAGCCACAGTTTTATAATTACATATAGTAATGGCATGCAGCGAGACTTTCGTATGTTGCAAAGACTGTATCAAAATGAACTATATTTATCCAGCTATAAAATGACTCTGGATGTAAGACACTAAACCTTATCAGTGATGGGGGGGGGGGGCAAAGATTATTTGTCCACACAAAGCTTTGATATTTGTTCTCCTTCACAAACACAACTTTTTCTCCCTACCACTTAATGTCCCATTTTATGGCTACAGAAGACAAAAACGCTTTTCTTGTAGAACTTGCAAATATGACTGTTCTCTTATGCCTCCTGCTACCACAGCAAAGCAGTCATGGCAACTTTATGCCAGCAGCTAGGCCAGGCAGTGTCAGACTCATGAGGGTCATGGCAAAACAGGCGACCAACAAGGTCAGTACTATCAAGCTGCCTGATGGTAAGTATACCCAAACTGGGAAAGGGACACCGAAAGAACTGTTCACAGTTCACTTCCTTGATTCAAAGCTGATTGATGATTCAGGTGATGGGTGGGTCCAGCAGAACCTGGGCATATGTGGACACATAAAAAACAGGGGAGACTGGAACCTGGCCAGTCGGGTAATCAATCAATCAAAAATTAGATGGGTGTTAGGACCTTCAAAACATTTAAGTTTGTGGGAACAGATGAAATTGTTCTGGCACTTCTGCAGCAAGAGATGAAACATTTAGTTCCACACCTCTGTATGCCACATGGGTTTATCCCTACAGCCTGGAGGCAAGTTAAAGTGACATTTATACTGAAGCCTGGGAAACTTGATTATATGGATGCTAAGGCTTATCGTCCTATCAGCCTGTCATCTTTTCTTTTGAAAATGATGGAGAAAGTAGTAGGCAGACACATTAGGCAAGGTGCACTGAAGATTCATTCTCTGCACTGAAACCAACATGCTTACTGTAACGTGTTTGCGTTACAGAATACAGAATACAGAAGAGAANAGGTGCACTGAAGATTCATTCTCTGCACTGAAACCAACATGCTTACCAAAGAGGTAAATCTACTGAAACCACACTGCATAATGTGGTTACACACATAGAAAATGCCATCGAACACACGGATATTGCCCTTGGAGTATTCCTTGATGTAGAGGAGCCTTTGACAGAACCTCTTTTGACACAATAAAACAGCTGCTGAAAGGCATGGCACTGAGCCTGCAATAGGCAGATAGATCTGTGCTATTCTGGAAAGCAGGAATATAAGTGCTACATTGCCTGGAGAGACCCTGAGAGCTTCTGCGGCGAGAGGGTGTTCGCAGGGACGTGTTTTCTCCCGTCTGCTGTGGAGCCTGGTCGTGGATGATCTTTGGGAGCTCAACAGTAAAGGTCATTTCACAGTAGGATATGCTGATGATATAGCAATCCTAATCAATGGGAAATTCCCTTACACTGTGTCAGAGACCTTACAAACAGCCCTGTGCACAGTTCAACAGTGGTGCAAAAGAAACTTGTCTATCAATCCAAACAAGACAGTAATTATATCCTTTACTAGGAGGAGGAATATCAAGGGGCTTAAGGAACCAATCCTCTTCAGTCAAGCGATCTGGCTATCCAGTGAAGTCAAGCACCTTGGAATAACATTTGGCAAGTGACTGACATGGAAAAAATAGCTGAACAAGGCTATTAGCAATGCCTATAAAGCCTTCTGGACATGCAGAGGCATATTTGGGAAGACTTGGGGGCTGACACCAAAGGTGGTGTACTGGATATACACCGCTATAGTAAGACCCATAATTACCTACGCTGCCACTATATGTTGGCCTAGAGTTAAACTTAAAAAAAGTCAGGCAGAACTAAGCTAACTGCAAAGGAAGGCCTGCTTGGGAATTATGGAAGCAATGAGAACAGCTCCAACAGCTGCAATGGGAATCCTACTAGGACTCCTTCCACTGCATTTGCAAAGGGAAGCAGAGGCCAAGTTAGGAAATTACAGATTATGTTGCAATGATCAGTGGAGACCTAAATCTAAAGGTTTTGGACGCGCATACATGATTCAAGACATGAAAAAGGAACCCATCCTACAGATGGGATCTGATAAAAGTGATACTGAAACATGTCTATGTAAACCCTTCACGATCAGATTTCCTGATAGAAGTGAATGGAAAGAGGGGGTTCAACCCGATAGAAAGGGGGGACTAATCTGGTATACAGATAGCTCCAAGATAAATAAAGGCACTGGAGCTGGAGTGTATTGTGATGGAACAGGGCGGAAACATACTCTCGGCCTTGGTCAGTATACAACAGTATTCCAGGCAGAAGTGTAGGCCATTAAGGCATGCACAGTTGAGAATTTAGATAGAAACTACAGAAATAGGAACATCTATATTCTATCAGATAGTCAAGCTGCAATAAAAGCACTTACTACACACAAAATAACTTCAAAATTAGTTTGGGATTGCCACCAATCCCTCACACAACTGACCAGAAATACAGAGTTCAACTGCTATGGGTGCCAGGCCATGAGGGTATTGCAGGGAATGAAACCGCAGATCAGCTGGCAAGAACAGGATCTGAACAACCGTTCATAGGACCTGAACCAGCTTGTGGCATCTAAATTGGAGTTGCCAAGAAAGCGATCAGGGACTGGACTAATAGAAATCACAAAAAAACACTGGGAATCGACAATTGGACTCAAACAGGCAAAAGGATTTATATCAGGACCCTCTGCCAAAAGAACAAGGGACCTGAGATCAACTAAGATGAGTGGTAGGATTACTTACTGGACACTGCCACCTAAAAGGGCACCTTTTCAAACTCGGACTGACAGATGACCCAACTTGTGAAAGGTGCCTACAAGAAGATGAATCAGCCACACATATCCTATGTGATTGTGAGGCCATAGCTTACCTAACATATTGCCACCTTGGTCAGTCCTTCATGGAACCAAGTGACTTTTATGATGCACCCATAAATAAAGTCCTACATTTCATTCAAAGTGTAGGATTAATAAAGGGTTAATCCAAAGGGGAAGCACAATAGATCATTCAAGGTAGCAGTGTGAGGGCCGGTTTTTATGGCTCACCCCTCATGTTAGTGGACTGGGACTAAGTCCCTTGTACTGCGGCCACTTCTGGCCTATTGTTCCAGCCCGAGATGATAGGTGAGGGTCATTGTGGAGCAATTGGTGGAATGAAGATTGGCAGGGGAAACCAAAGTACTCGGAGAAAACCTGCCCCAGCGCCACTTTGTCCACCACAAATCCCACTTGAACAGACCCGGGCCGTCAAGGTGGGAAGCCAGCAACCAACTGCTTCAGCTATGGCGCGGCCCCCTCACCCCTTATACTCATACTCATATGCCTCCTGCCACACTCTGCTCCCAGAAATACTCTCCTCCAAGACACATAGTTATACTGCAACCACTACTACTCCTACTGCTGCTGCTGCTGCCACTGTCCCCACCACCACCACCACCACCACCACCACCACCACAATTTTATCCAAATGAAGTTAGATGTGAGCTAAACTTACATAGACAGAATTATCATCTCCCCTAAAAATGAACTTAAATTTTGGCAGTGAATGTGTTAAAAATCTGTACATTTCATCTAATGTTTTTAGGTAATTAGATAAATGGAATGAGACAGGCATGACATGTAGTACGTAGGTGAGAAAAGATTAACAATTATAACCAGAAAATGTCAAAGGAAGAGACAATTTGGGAGAATCAGCACAGATATGAGGAAACCACTGAAGTCAATGTTAGAGAAATCAGGTGTGAAAGTGTGGAATGGATCAAACTGGCTCAAAATTTGACTGGCTGTATAACTGTTCAAGAACCATACAACAGAATTAATCCAGTTAATTAAACTCATAAATTTCAGACAGATATCAACTACCAACAGAGCTCATCAACAGCACTAATACTACTTAGCTTATTTTCATACACTCCACTGCTGACACAGTTAGCAGTAGAGATATTAATGCAAAGAGGCAAAACATTATTTTTCCTTTAACTCAGTTGAATATTCTTTTCTTCAAAAATGTTTCAAATGAAAATAGACCTTAATAATAATTTTTATTTTATGTCATGCTTATTTGGCCCTCCACCTGGGCTGGTACAATTATGTGCTGAGATGTCTACATGGCCTGATCAACTAGAGCCATATCTTAGTAGGAGCATAAGCTCCTGGTAGTGTCAACCATGCTAGAGGTTGGAGAGTACAGGCCAGATGAAAAGTAGTCCCTGCTTTCTAGGCTGGAGGTTGGATGTGAGATTAACAACCTCACATCGTAAAACAATATATATAAAAAACCTAACGACAGATGGCAGCTGAGAAAACACAGGCACGTCATTAGGGACAACGAAATCCTTGGAGTACTGCAGAGCCAAATAATAAGAATAAGAGATTACACACACTTACTGAAATGAACCACTTTGTAAAAAGTCTGACTTGAGGTCCATGTAAAGTATGGGCTATAATGGACTGATATGGCCCAAAATAAAATCTGACCAATTACTTCATCAATCTATTATTTAATGCAGCAGAAACATGGATGGATGGAAGGACAGACATAATCTGCTCATTTAGAAGCACTCTGTGAAATTAATATACAGAAACTGGTTGAATTATTTGCATATTAGTGATGTTCTTACTGTTTTGTAATAAATTTCAAATAATCTGGAGAATTTACACACTAAGGGGAAAAAGAAGCACCATCCAACACTGATTAACTGCTATTACTCACTTGCATTTTCACATCTGGGGCTAGGTCAGGGTTTTTCATCAATTTCTTGACTTCACACCGGCTTTCAACCAACTTGCGAATTTCTGTTGGAAGGATCCCAGCTTGCAGTCCAGGGCTTGGCAGTTCTACTTGCATTTCTTCCTGCAACATCATCCAGTCACTTGGAACGATCAAAGTTTGTATAGGGCAGGTTCGCTCAGGGAAGTGGCAGAAGAAATCTTAAAATACAAGTTAGATTCAGCGGGAGTACAGGAGGTCAGATGGGATGGAGGTGGCATCACACCAGCAAGAGACTATATATTTGTCTATGGAAAGGGGAATGAAAATCATGAATTAGGTATAGGTTTCTTCATACATAAGAGAATCGTATCAGCAGTTAAACGGGTAGAGTTCGTTAGCGATAGGATATCATATATAATACTAAAAGGTCGCTGGTGTGATATCATTGTTATGAATGTTCACGCCCCAACAGAAGATAAAAGTGATGACATAAAGGATAGATTCTATGAAGAACTAGAACATGTATTTGATAAATTCCCAAAGTACCCTATGAAAATTTTGTTTGGAGACTTCAATGCCAAAGTAGGGAGGGAAGACATTTTCAAACCAACAATTGAGAATGAGAGCTTGAATGAAATTAGTAATGATAACGGAGTTAGAGTAGTAAACTTTGCCACATCAAAGAAAGTACAATGTTCCCACATCGTAACATTCATAAATTTGCTTGGACATCTCCTGATGGGAAGATACACAATCAAATAGACCATATTTTGATAGATAGGAGACAGCACTCAAGTATACTTGATGGCTGATCATTCTGGACAGCAGATTGTGATACTGACCACTACCTGGTGGTGGCAAAGGTTAGGGAAACACTGGCAGTGAGCAAACAAACAACACACAGAGTTCATATGGAGAGGTTCAATCTCAAGAAATTAAATGCGGTAGAGGGTAAAGAGCTGTATCGTGTAGAAATCTCAAATAGGTTTGCGGCTTTGGAAAACTTAGATACTGAGGTGGATGTTAATAAAGCTTGGGAAACTATTTGAGAGAATATAAAAATGTCTGCCAGACAGAGTCTAGGTTATTATCAACCGAAGAAGCATAAGCCATGGTTCGATGAAGGATGCTCAGAATTATTAGATCAAAGAAAGCAGGCCAGATTGCAATGGTTACAGAATCCAAGCGAGTTAGATGGGGATAATCTGAACAATATAAGACGTGAAACCAGCAGGCATTTCAGGAACGAAAAGAGGGAATATCTGAAAGACAAAATTGATGAGCTTGCAATGAACAGTAAGAACAAGAATATTAGAGACCTATATAGAGGAATAAATGACTTTAAGAGGGGTTACAAGCCTAGCAGTAACTTAGTGAAGGATGAGAATGGTGATCTGCTTGCAGATTCCCACAACATTTTGAATAGGTGGAGGAACTACTTCTCTCAGTTACTGAATGTACATAGGGTCAGTGATATTAGGCAGACAGAAATCGATACAGCTGAGCTGTTAATACCTGATCCTAGCCCTTATAAGTTTGAAAGTGCTATTGCAAAATTGAAACGGTATAAATCGCAAGGTAGTCATCAAATTCTGGCAGAACTTATTCAAGCAGGAGGCGAAATATGACGTTCTAAGATCCACAATCTAATTACTTCTATTTGGCATAAGAAAAAATTGCCTGATCAGTGGAAGGAGTCTTTTATTGTACCAGTTCACAAGAAGGGCGATAAAACTGACTGTAGTAACTATCGGGGGATATCACTGCTATCAACTTCATATAAAATCTTGTCCAGTATTCTTCTGTCAAGGTTAAGTCCATGTATAGATGAAATTATTGGGGATCATCAGTGTGGGTTTTGACGTAACAGATCAACTACAGATCAGATCTTTTGCATTCGTCAGATACTGGAGAAAAAATTGGAGTACAATGAGACAGTACATCATCTAATCATAGACTTCAAGAAAGCCTAAGATTCAGTTAGGACGGAAGTATTGTATTATATTCTGATAGAGTTTGGGATACCCATGAAACAAGTTAGGTTGACTAAAATGTGTTTAAACAAAACGTATAGTAAAGTCTGTGTAGGTAAACATTTGTCTGATAAATTTCCTATCCAGAATGGTCTAAAACAAGGAGATGCTTTATCGCCACTCCTTTCCTACTTTGCTTTAGAATATGCAATTAGGAAGGTCCACGGAAACCATGTGGGACTGAAATTAAACAGGACACATCAGCTGTTAGTCTATGCCGATGATGTGAATCAACTGGGTGATAATGTAGATACCATAAAGGAAAACACACAAAACTTTAATTGATGCAAGTAAAGAGGATGGTCTATAAGTAAACACAGAGAAAACTAAGTATATGTTACTGTCTCGCCACCAAAATGCAGGGCAAAATCATAACATAAAGATAGGAAACAGATGTTTTCAAAATGTGGCACAATTCAGATATTCTGGAACAACGATAACAGATCAAAACCTGATTCAGGAGGAAATTAAGAGGCGATTGTACTCGAATAATGCTTGCTACCATTCAGTCTAGAACCTTTTGTTTTCTCGTCTGTTGTCCAAAAACATAAAAATTAGCATATACAAAACTATAATTTTGCCTGTGGTTCTGTATGGGTGTGAAACTTGGTCTCTAACACTGAGCGAGGAACATAGACTGAGGGTGTTTGAGAAGAGGGTGTTGAGGAGAATATTTGGACCGAAGAGAGATGAAGTGACTGGCGGTTGGAGAAAACTGCATAATTAGGAGCTCCATAACTTGTACTCTTCTCCAAGTATAATTAGAATGATCAAGTCAAGAAGGCTGAGGTGGGCAGCTAATGTAGCACGAATGGGGGAGACCAGGAGTGCATATAGGATATTGGTGGGAAAGCCAGAAGGAAAGAGACCACAGGGAAGACCAAGGCATAGGTGGATGGACAATATTAGAATGGATCTTAGAGAGATAGGATGGGATGGTATGGATTGGATAGGTCTGGCTCAGGATAGGGACCAGTGGAGGGCTCTTGTGATCACGGTGATGAACCTTCGGGTTCCATAAAATGCTGGGAATTTCTTGAGTAGCTGCAGAATTGGCAGATCCTCCAGAAGGGTTCAGCTCCATGAGTAAGTAAGTATTATAAAAACATTTACGTATTGGTGGGTTCCTGATCGTAGTGGTATACCTCCAAAGATTATACATTAAGAGTCAAACCATGTTAGGTAACTAATTGCTGGATTATATGTCACATTGGACTGAAATAAACTTAACTGTAAATGTTCTCTCAAGGTTAAGTCCATATATAGATGAAATTATTGGGGATCATCAGTGTGGATCAGATCAGATCTTTTGCACTTGTCAGACATTGGAGAAAAAATTGGAGTACAATGAGACAGTACATCAGCTATTCATAGACTTCAAGAACCCCTACAATTCAGTTAGGAGGGAAGTATTGTACAATATTCTGACAGAGTTTGGGATACCCATGAAACTAGATAGGTTGATTAAAGTGTGTTTAACCTTTATCGGACGGGCCATTTAATTTCCGGTAGGGGCAGCTGGACGGAGTTTATTTAAATGCCCGCCCTTCTAGAGCAATGAAATTGTAAGCATGTTTCTAAAAATGGTGTGATTTCTACATTTTTTATGATGAACGAACGAAATGAACGCTCCTTTAATGTAGAAAGAATATAGAATCAGATATTCTAATTTACAGATTTTAATATCTGTAAAAAATTTTTTACACTGATTCCCAAAATAAAATTTCCCGAAATTCATACATTTTCTGCACCA